CGTTCCGGTATTGCTTTTGCTCATTGTAGAAAGCCATACGGTGACCTGTAGTTGCTAACCTCAGTCTACGTCATTTGGTCTCTGGTGGATGGTTTTTCTCATTGGCAAACATACATCTTCTTATTTTTATATTGAGTATAACAAATTTACCATTAAACATTTTTTTTTATTAAAATAAAATATACAATCATAAACATAACAATAAATTAATTATCATAACAAAGAAAATAAACCAGATAGTCAGGATAAATTTTTATTTGAAATAAACAATTTATAAAAAAAATTATTTCCGTAACTTTGAAATTTTTTTATTTTAATTTTTTTTACTCAATATACTTTTAAAATCGACACATACATAATGCGAAAGAGTTCTACCTTTATGACGTTCCGTCGCATTACGTTTGCGCGAACAGTTTACCACCATTTTGCGACATAACGCATTACGCGGGAAATTTACTTATTGGAAAACAAACAAACAAATAACAAATGTCTTACACACAAATAATTAAAAAATCGTCAACTGAAATAGAAATGTGGTTAACGCACGACAAGGATTCGGGATTGCAATTTCTTCACGGGAGAAATTTAAGGACAGTTTTATAGATGAAATAATGCCAGATGCTACTGATAACGAAATCCGCAAACTATTTGCCACTTTTAAAAATTATATCATCAGTGAGTCTATAATTCCGCCAATATTATAATGTGGACGGCTGTTCCAAATAAAAGCACAAAACGTAAAAACAACGAACAGACAGAGTCTTTTCACAGCAAAGACTGACTTATAGAGTGTTCCTGTCGAGATTACATACTGTGTTTTATTTCAGAATAGGGTTTATTATACTTAGAATGTTCCCTTTGACGTCATCTCAGAATAAAGTGATTAATACCTTCACAGGATAAACGATGAGTCTCATAAACTTATATTTATATATTTCATAATATTATGATTTAAAAAAATATAGCATGGTAAGATATTTCATTACCGGGAAGTAGTAGAAAATAATTTAATAAATTAGAATCAAGGGTTTTAATTTCTACGTCAATGTTACTGACAAAAGTACACATATACTAAAACACAAGTCTTAGCAAATGTCGTCACAGCAATACTTTTTTTAATTATTGAAATAATGCACTATTATACCCGTATGGGGTTGATTGCATACATGTAAACAAAATAACACATTACATAATACATCACAAAAATAATAAACAAAAAAAAAACAAAAAAAACCTGAATTCATATATGTACATATCATATATATAGTATAATCATTTATTTTTATAAAATTTTCTGGGATATCACTGTATTGTATATAAATGTTTGTAAATAGATGCATATTCCTTTACATAATTTGCACTTTCTCTATACCTATTTATCTGCAATGGTTACGAGAATAAGGATATTGGGCAAATGTAGTTTTTATAATCCTTTAAGTACTAGTAAATTGAAAAGTTAGCTCGATGAAAAGATATAACAATAAAAAAATTCAAATGAAATGCAATTTAAATCAGATAAAATAATAATAATAATAATAATAATAATAATAATAATAATAATAATAATAATAATAAAGATGATGATGAAAAAAACTATAAAAAAAAACTAACGAAAGCCAAATTCATCCTTGGGCATTCATAAATCCATCCCAAATTTCAGGATGAGGTGGTTTTCCATTGTGTGCAAAGAGATGACACATAACCTTATGCGAATCAAAAAAGAGGAAAAATACACGTTTAGAATCTACAATGGTCACAATAAATCATAATATATATGAAACTAATTCATTTGTGTGTCAGATAGTACAGTTAAGTGGAAATGATTTTGTCCCTTGAAATGTCCAGATTATTGTTTAAAAAAAGGTTTTTGTTAATTTTTCAAAATTGACAGTAAAAGATCAGGCAACGCGTAATTTGGATCGTGAAAGATCAGTCACTGCGTTATTTGTTCTTCTATGGTCTTTCGCAGAGGGAATACAGACAACAAACATATACATGTAAAAAGTCTAGCGATTGCATCGTTCATGGGACTTATTGATAATTCGGTTCAATACTTTTCAAAACTTTTCATTTATATATATATATATATATATATTATATAAACTCAGAAATAGACCTGTTTTCACTTAGAGGCAGTAAAAACAAGACAAAAAAACCTAACTTGTTGCAAAAATAATCTATCTTTGTATGACTAATGCTACATGCGCGAAGTAAGAGTGGATCTTCTCTGGAGATATATTGAATGTAAACGCTACTTCTTTATTTTAAGTAAGGGTTATTACGCTAATGGAAACCTACCTTATTATCATTTATTAGGAGTTTCGTTCGTACATCACTGTTTACATCATAGTACCCAACAAGGTGGTGAAAATACCAACGTACGTACATCGAGTGTGTTTGGATCAATTTTCCAAGTTGGTCTGTAATTGTACCAATATTGTTCTATTTCCTATCGTAACAAGTCTGGTTCCCTTGCCTGGTGATGCCTGCAATAGCAAAAGACATGGTATGGCCTCCCTTAGTTTGGAAATAATTAGTGGCTATAAGGTTTTTTTTTCCATCTTAGTTTGTATCTTCAAAATGTGTCTTTAATATAAAGTGATAGTCAATTCCTCTATGCTAAGCACGAATCACTAGTATCAAAATTATATGTCCGGATATAGTGATCCTGCGAACTGTTAACATTTCTTTAGCTCGAACTTAAATAATTCAGCTCGGCGTATATGATACAATAAAGAGATAACTCTCTTCTAATCGCATCATTCATTGTTTCCATTCCAGCTATTTAGACGAAATTGCATAGTATTGAAACGTTTAAACACAACAAATTTAAACCAGGAATTATTTCTGGATATATTCTATGTATTTTACCTTTTTTTTCCAAGCAATGTGACGGTCATTTCGAAATGTCCACAAACGGATAAAATTGACACGGGGATCAATTCGAAAAGGCATATAATACCTAAGTTATAATTTTCGTAAAAAGGGCACAAACAGATGATTCTTCAATTTTGTGATTTTTTTTCCTTAAAAGCTTAGTTTTTACCACAACTTGGACATCTCTAATCAAAATAAAATAGCATAAGACACTTCATTTAATTTATTAAAGTTATGGTAATGGATTCAATTTTCTAGCGTAAGAAGTTTAACAGATATTTAAACGTATGGTGCGATGAGATTTTTACAAACATCTACTGCTTTTATATTATTAAATCTTAATTATAAGATAGATTTAAATTCTTTCAAGAGGGTTTTTTAACAATGACATCGCTTACAGGAATTGGTTAACCAGACCATAAATTTTAATTAATTGAACAATCACAATAAAATGAAGATTAAATTATGCTTGTAAAAAGTTGAACTATTTACAGTATTGTTGTTTATATATATAATACTGAGACACATTTCCATTGATTAGATGAGTAGACTAGGTTCAAAATCAACGACTTTATTTCAGCAAATGGGAACGCGGGTTAAGTGTTCTTTTTCTACTATGGTTTCGTGTTCCTTGATATTTATTTTTTTTGTTAAAGTACGGACTTGTCTGTCTAATTTTAGCATTCTTGACTACTATTTTGTTTATTTTTTTTTTCATCTTCAAACTTTTTGTTAACTTAAGATATGCTGTATAATCTGTCAGGGTGTTTACCATTACAGGTGATCTGGTTTGCTTCGGCCATAACATTAATCGACGTTCATGTGTAAGAAAATATTAAGAATTACCGCTAATGAAAAAAACAACAACAAAAAAAGCCCAATAAAAACAACACTACCCTAAAAAAAAACCTAGAAAATTCTCCGAAAAATATTTTTTCAGAAAGAAATAAGCAAAGATACTTGCAAAGAGAGGCGAAAGACACCAAAGGGACATTCAAACTTACAACTCGAAAACAAACTGACAACGCCATGACCAAAAAGGAAATAGACAAACAAACAACAGTACACAAAACACAACATGGAAAGCAAAAGACTGAGCAACACGAACCCCACCAAAAGCTGGGGGTGATCTCGGGTGCTCCGGAAGGTTAGCAGATCCTGCTCCACATGTGACACCCGTCGTGTTGCTCATGTTAATACAAATCCGGTGATAAGTCTAACTCGGTAGGTCACATTCGGGGAAAAGGGGACGGGATTGTAGTTACAACAATTGGAACATATCCGTTGTCATCTGTGAAACGGATATTCCATAACAGTCAACCAACTCGTGTTTCCAGGCGTCCGTAAAATTTACGAAGGGACAATTTCAACTTAACCTCTTGGAGCTCTTGGTTTAATAGCTTCCTTGTGAGCAGCAACCCTCTATCAAGAAAATCATGATAGGAAATACAAGCCCTGGAATATCGTATCAACTGAGAGATATATACTCCGTATGCAGGTGCTGCTGGAATGTGGTTGCATAGAAATAGGAAGTTCACAATTGGGAAGCTGAAATCATCTCTTTTGTCGTATAGTTTTGTTTTCAACCGACCATCATTGTTAATTTCTAGATGAAAGTCAAGATATGACGCCGACTTAACTTTTGCAAGTAGTAGACTAAAAAAATATCCATAACTAATGCATAATGGTAACTGTGCCTCTTTGTAAACACAATTATGTTATATATGATTTAGTACATGTAACTTTAATTTAAGTGTATAACCTTTGCTATTTAGATTCGTTAATGTCACGAAGAGATATAGATATTTAAAGGCCCCTTTAAATCCAGTTCATGGATTTTAAACTGATTATCTTTTCAGTATTAATCGCTTAGTATTTAGACCGATAAGTAAGCCACGAATAAGAACTTATAAACTACTATATCTATAAAGAATTGATAAAAAAGAAGACTAATACTGTTGAGAACTGTATGTTGATCTATAAATGTCTTTGGTTAGTTTCGACATTGGTGTTGCTGTGTCATTGAGGTATACCATACATTTCCTCTTATTTATAAGACTCAATTTTAATATCGAACATATTTTGATTAACGTTTCTTCTAAGAACATTATTTCTATTTGCAGGTTCCAATAGTACGGTAACGGCAAATTACACTGAAACATACCCCAAAATAGTCATAACTATATGTATAGCATTATTTGGTGTAATTCTTGCAGTCATTATAGCAAAGGTAGCAAATGTCTGTCACGATAGAGCCGTTATTGAGGACGACGCCAGCGACATTAGTGATAACACTAGAAATATCATAAGAGCTAGACTGTCGCTTATAGCATTACAAAGGAAGGCACGAAGTGTAGGCGTAGGCCAGAGGTTTTTCCGACTGTGGTCCAGAAAAGCAAATGACACATTAACAGGAAATGAAAGTGACAAGACTTCAAGTACTGTTATTACAGTAGAAGAAGCGAAATCAAAGATTAAAGAAAAGGATAAAAATGCATTGTCTAATAAATTGACTGTCCTCCTATCAAACAAAATCAAACAAGGGCCTGAGGACGAATTAAAAACGAAGACTGGAAATATACAATCAAGTGAAAATAGTAAAGAAAAAGCATCAACTTCTACTACAAACAATAGTTCTCCTTCTTCAAAACTAAAACACAAATTACCTACAACCAGACCGCCGTCTGGTAAGAAACAAGAAAATTTTATAGGACCAAATGTTTCTAGATCGAATTCTATAACTGACTCTAGACCCGATTCTAGAGCGGACTTGGTAACTAAAGTTTCTCCTGGAAGACCACGCGATGTTACGTCAGCAACAGGCGTTTCTATTAGTGTTTCTATAAATGGAAATAATGGCAATAATAAGACAAAGAAAAGTGTTACATTTCAAGACCTTGTAGAAGTTAACGGGAACAATTCTTCTAGTACGAAGGCTGCAGATGTTAGTAGTTCAAATAAATCTAATTTGAAGAAGACATGAAATTGACAAAATTTCTTTTCATTTAATCTAAGTAGTGGATGGCCCTTACAAAGTATTATGCTATTAAAGATGCGACAGTCAATGCAGGGTGACATCTTTGGTTTGCTGAAAGAGATATTGTACAAGTTCATTGTAATTGCTATTATTTTTTAGTATTCCAGTGCATTGAACTTTCTGCAACTGCAGTATATGAGTATCAGAAACGTTAGTTTAAACTTCGCTCAAGTAAACATTAGACTTAATCAAAAGTGCTTTATGATTAATGTTGTACAGGTGTGTTTGCTCGACAGTTTCCTTTCAAAACAGATTTTTGTGCAAATACCTTTCGGTAATTAATGCAATTTCAATGATACTACAATATTTATCACATATCAAAAGAATCTAAAGAAAAGTATATAATAGTAGATGTCTGAGTCACAGATTTTTAACCACGACAATGAATAGTTTAACTTCAATATGTTTCCTTTTTTTGTAAATTTATAATTATACATTTGATAAAACCAGGTTTCTTGTTCTAAAATCCTCATGTCCGTTTATCCGTCACTTTTTGTAGATTCAAATCCTTTGAAACTTTACTTAAAAGTAATAGGCAAAAACAGCATAGGTTAAGACAATTTGGCATTTGCTATTAAAGAGTATTTCTAACTGGTTAAACAAAACGGTAGGGTCTTTGAGACAAATGATTTACTTTTGTTTATTTATTTTATTTGTATATATAAGGAAAATGCATTTTTTTATATCCATTTTTATTACAATTTTATGAAAGATACAAAGATACTAGATACTTTGTATGAACGCATTGTTAGCATCATTTCTTTAAAGAAATTACCAATACCTAAATTATTTAAAACCCATGAAAAGCAAATCGTAAATGACATTCAAAATATTGTCTTAGATATTTGATATTATAAAAGGAAACTTCATTTTATTTTCAATATGTGATTACTGATGCCAAAAGCAAGTCATATAACCAAATAATATCAGCAACATAATTTACTATATAAATATTTCTTTATTTGCTGCTGATGATTTTTTTTCAAGACTGGTTGCAGGACATTAATCGAAATACTACTATAGAAATACGGGTACCTAATTACTAGTAACTGGATTTTTATATTAAATATAGAGTGCCGTTTTAGGCATGAAAAAGAATCAACAATCGAAATCACAGAAAATAGACATTAAATAGGACTATATAAACTTATGAAACACAATCCAAAATAGACTTGCGTATATTATATTTTCTATACGAAACTAAACATCTATTCTTACACGAAGCACATTTTCTGCCCCTTTCCAGTGACTGCCAAAATTTCCCTCTCTTCATCTCGGTCGGTCCTTTTGCAAAACCTATTGTACAACATTTTTGATAATTTGTCCTGAAAAATATGCATGACATATATTAGTCACTGGAAGTTAGGCAAGCAACGATCAATCAATCAATCTTATATGAGCGAAACACAACTCAATGATTCTGTCAATGTCCAAATTTTTCCCGAATGGTTAGTTTTATAAAGAAGATCATTGGCTACAAAAAGTAACATTACAAATCAATGAATTTGAAATATTTGTTTATTGTGATAAAATGGACATATGCATAGAAATTTTTCAATATTGTTTTGCCTTTCATAAGTTCTTTTATTACAGTTTATGCAAAACTGAACTTAAACAAATAGCAGTATTTTGTTGGTTTTATATTTTTTTTTATGGCAGTTGATATGCCTGACCAAATCTGTGATACCCATTTAATATTTATTTTTGTTATATGTATTATATTGCACTGTATTGATTTTTAATATGTTATTGTCTTTCATATTTGCTTGTAGTTGTCATGAAAGTAATCCTACGTTTAAAATACAATGTCTGAGCAGTATCAAGATATGCATTTTTCTCGCCTAATAAAGGGAAAACATTTAAGGAACAAATAAAAATAAAATGTACGATTTTTGCTGATGCCGATGACCTTTTTTGCATTCTGAATTAACCTTCACTAGAAAGATGTAGCATCGAAAGGGAGATAAATACAAAATGAGCTATTATGCCAGTTGTCGTAATACAACAAGATTAGAACAAATTCATCTAAACTAATACTTTACACCAGTACTAGTAAAAGGCCTTTTCAGGTTGTCTTCCAATATCTGAAACAGGCTTTCAATAGAGCCGAAAATAGTCAAGGGACTGTGCTTTACGAGAAAAAAACCTTATAGACCGTTGAAAATAACAGATTCTGTTTCACAATTATTTAAATATGCTCAAATGTTAACAACAAATACACAACCTTTCAAAAACAAAAACAGACGTGAACACGACATATTTAAGGTTAGAAACAAGAAAGAGATATCACGTGCTCTGAAATTATACTTAAAGATTGGATTTATTTCTTTCTTCTCTCACAAGAAATTGAAATTTTATCTCCGTTAATTATCATGTTTCATATCTTCAGCCCGATCCGACGCGATGCATTTAAGACCATCAGCATATACTTTTATTTAGGTACTTTCTGATCATATAACTGTTCAACTGTTTCGGTTTTTATACATCCTTGGCTTTCAAATATTCAGCTTTGAGCGTTCCTGATGAAGGTAAATCCAGAAAAGCGCTTCGGACGTATCAAATTTATGTAGTGTTGTTTTCATTTTTTACAGCACTGGGTCGATACCTCTGCTGGAAGACTATCAGTCCCCGAGGGTATCATCACTAGGAGTCAGTACTTCGGTACTGACATGATTTATAACAATTCTTTCTAAAATTGTCCTTTTATAAATTTTGAAATTATAAAGAAACTAAGGCTTCAACTCCCTCAGTCAAAGTAAACATTTTATGGATTTGTCTTTTTAGGTACTATTTGACCATATAGTTCTTCATCTGTTTCGGTTTTTATACATCCTTGGCTTTCAAATATTCGTCTTTGAGCGTTCCTGGTGAAGATAAATTCAGAAAAGCGCTTCGGACACATGAAATTTATAAAGTGTTGTTTTCGTTTTTAACAGCACTGGGACAGGTTATATTTGTCCGAGAATGAAAGTGACATAATGTCCTTGCTGTCGACCAGGTCACTTACCACGTCAAAATTCGACTCAGATTGGCTGTTGTGTACAACGCAGAGTATACATATCCATACGACAATTACATACTATTGTCCTAAATATACATGTAACATTTGCACAGAACGTTAAACCTATATCTGCCATCAATAAATGTTATTAAGTTAAACGATTTTTTCACATCTGTATTTACGAAAACTTACCTAAAAATAGGTTAGCAAAATATCATGTTGATATTTTTCAGGATTTAAGTAAGTTTGTTTTTATATTCTTTGTTAAATTCAAATAACACTTTATTAATTCCTTGCGTTCGAAGGGCTTTTCTGGATTGAAAATTCATAAGGAATGCTGAATCGTTTGAAAGCCACGGATGTGTAAGACCAAAACTCAAAAAACTATATGACAAAAAGGAACCTGAAAATAACCAAATCAATCTTAGGTTAACTTTGTCTGAGGTAGATGATGGAACCTTAATTCGTTTTTTTGTTAAAAGATGAAATAATTTGCTGTGTCGTGGAAACGCTATACCCATTTTTATGAATATTTGGATGTAACCATATCTTGACACCAGCTTAAGACTGAACAAAATTAGCAAATATCATTACTAATGAATGTTTTGTCTTAAGACAATACTACTTGAATGTTCCTTACAATACCTAAATTTTTAATTTGGATTTGCGTATCTAATGGTTTGGGATATTTGTATCTGCATGCAATGATTGATGTTGCAAAAGCAAATAAATAATTAAATTCTCATCAAGGCTTAATTAAGTTAGAGAAGTCCGTTGAATTACAATTGAATAACATAAAAGACATTGATACTTTCTTTGACAACGTAATCTTTATCCCATCTTTTCTTCAGACATCAGCATAACCATAAGGGATTATGTAATTTATATAACCTGCAACAAGGACGTTCAAATGCAGAAAATCGGAATCAACATTGTCAAACTTATAATTTGGTACGCCTGACGCACGTTTCGTCTACTTTTGACTCATCAATCAGTGGCGTTTGAATTAAATCAGGTGAAAGGTCAAATAAAATACGAAGTTGAAAAGCATTAAAAACTGAAAATTTCTAGTCATTCAATATTTCATAAGCAGCAAATTTACAGAAAATGAACATATCACTGATATTTCATGGCAACACAAAAGTGATGACCACTGGACTTGTGATACTCTCGGTGATGCCCTTGTGATACGAAACAACTACCAGTTGTGCCATGGACTCATTGGTTGTAAAATTTATCATAGATACAAGGCTTATGATTTAAAACAGCTAAAAGACCGCATTAACAACAATCAGACATACGAACTTACCCCACCTGAAAAATGTAAAATAGAAAAAATACCAAACTCCAAGGAAAATTCAAAACGGAAAGTCCCTTATCAAATGGCAAAATCAATAGCTCAAACACATCAAACGAACGGAAAACAACTGTCATATTGCTGACTTGGTACAGGCATTTCCTTATGTAGAAAATGGTGGATTAAGCCTGGTTTTAAAGCTACCTAAACATCTCACTTGTATGACAGTCGCATAAAATTTCATTATATTGACAACAATGTGTGAACAAAACAAACAGACATAATAGGTAAAAATGTCAAAATATAGGGGTACAGCAGTCTACATTGTGTTAGAATCTTAATCACTATAAAAACAAACAAATATGTCAACAAAGAAAAAACAAAATGGCATCTAGACAAAGCATATAAGCAAAGATGAAAGACAAAAATACAAAAAAAATGACCATAGTACAATAACACAATGGCGGGATGTATAAGTACCGAGCCACGCCAAAAGGGTATTACAAAAAATGGACTAAACAGGCAAATAATTTACAAAGACAAATAAAAGAACCATATAACATGTATGTAAGATGATAAACAACGTCAGTACTTAGAATCTATACTTCATCATGTATTATTTGTGAAGTTGATACGGAATATTTATCAACAAGGTCTTGGTATGTTCCGATGAACTTTTTTAATAAAAAGGACGAGACGTTCTTTGACATAACCCTAGTTCATCAACTTTTTGCTGAGAAACTGGTGACGTTTTATAAAGTCTGAGTAGCAGCTGCAAGCTCTTGAATACCGAATGAGTTGGGAAATGTATATCCCATATGCAGGTGAAGTTGGTAAACTCCTATTAAGGTCGGGGAAATTGGTAATTTCAAAATAAAAATTGTCTTGTTTGTCATGGATCCTGGTATTAAGATGACCGCTTATGTCAAATTCGAGGTATAAGTCTAAAAATGAGGCGGAGGAAGCCGTGTCTGTTGTTTCTTTAATTTCTAGTTCTGGAGGATATATAAATGAACTGGATTCAACACGACACGACATGTTGACAACACTTGCGGCATATGTCTTTGGGATAAATTAAAGATTAGTTTAGCATAATGCAGAGGTGCAAGCACTTAGTCGGCTATATATCATTAGTAACTTGTTAAATTCATCCGTAACTCAATGATACCGAAGTTAGATGTTGAAAGCTTAACTTTATCATCATATGTCTTACGTTATAAATGTTATCCAAAAGAACTTAATGGACTTCAAAATAAATCTTTAGACTCTGATATCCACATTACCATAGTCTATGCTATTGTAACTTTTAAATCATAAAACCTAACTTCAACCATGGCAGTTTAAGCATATTTCGATTAAGACACCAGATGACAGCTAGTCCTTTCCATTGTACATGCACCAACTGTCCTGGTAGCTCTTCACAATAACACGTTATCTCATTGTACTACCAACTGAAGAATAAGTCTGCATAGACGTCTTTGACTATCTATGGAAAATCCCATACAATTCCTGATGATCATAACCCGGTTTCCTTTTCCTATAACCTCTAACAATTTATACGTTGTTTTTTTGCCATCCACTATGACTAGGCAGTTAACTTTCAATTTTATTATCATATTAATACATTATGTCTGTTTGGGTTGCACACTACGTTTTGACAATATGACGGAACTATAGACAAATGTCATACAAGTGCAGGAATATGGCAGTTGTTTTTCACTTGTTCCGTTGATCGCTAGCGTTTGATTTTGTCAATTTTCATGGACTTCCCCTTTTTTAATTCGCCTAGAGTTCGGTATTTTCGAATCAGCAGCTACAACGATATCTGGGATTGCATATGTGAGTACTGGCATTGTCACTGACTCGCAAGTTTCAATGAATGACGATTTGGAATATTACTGCAGGTATACTGGTTCAAATCTGGTACTGTCCTGAAATGAGACTGACATCATAACGGTCGATGTTTTGTTAGAAGTCTAATGGTTCCAAATAATGATAGAGATTGTTTTAACTACAAGAGAAATGGGAAGGAACCACGCACCACATTCATAAGCCATCGGAGAATGTGCATAGCAAGGGCAAAGAATTAGTAATAGTTGCAATAGAGAAAGACCGAGCAGGATATAATATGAAAGATAGAAGTGGTATCATCAAATATGATTCAAGGCGTTATTAAGGATTGTCGCTCGTGTGGTCAATGAATGGGAAATACCATGATACAATGATTCACCAATCCAACAACGACGGAGTAATCATTACAGCCAGTAAGGGAAACGGAGAAGGATGTACTTAAACTCTACACTGCAAACTTCTGCTGCTCAAAGGATTCATCATCAATATAATGTCTCCCCTAGATTGATTCATCACTGAGAAATATAGATACAATGAAACCCAGTCTGAGTTGATAGTAATTAACACATCTAATCGAGATGAACAACTGTATAGTGACCCAACCATCCCTCAGGAAACTGTTCTTGTTCAAGATATAGCTGCTATAGGTTGGACCACTTACACTAGCACA